AAAAAAATTTTTTTTTGAGTAGCTACAAAATGGTGGCACAAAAAGTGAATATTTCCCATCACACATACTCCACCTGTTCCTTGGTCTTACAACTGTCTTCCATCCTGATGGTAACCATTGACTGTTGTAGTCTTATTTTTTCTCAAATGTTATCCAAAAGAATATGAGAAAAGAAACACAATACACAAAAGCAGTTGGAAGAGCAAAATGATTTTAAATTAATTTGCTACATATGAAAGATTGGAAATGACAAATGTTATTAAGTAACAAATGCCGAATTTAATTCTGAAAAAAAATCTATTTTCTTATTGGCACATTTTCTCCTTAAATTTGATACCAAATCAATTTTGAATGTTTTCTATGTAGAGTCCAGAATGTCTCCTTTATTCCTTCTTTTGACCCAATTTAAGTCTAGTAGGTATCTGAATCTCTAGAAATTACAAACACTAATCATGGTATTAATGTTATATGATGCCTTATCATTGATACATTATAATGATAAATAGTTTATAATTATAAATATTAATTATGGCAGCTTGGAAAGGCACAATGTATATAGGGTATGTGTTTATAAGAAGATAATTTAAAGCATTTAACTGCCAAATAACATTGTTGATAACATTGTAAACTTTGCTCAGTAGAAAATAACAGAATACATCAAATCAATTTATTGTCACCATCAGTAATATTAACTTGCTATTTCATGTGTGAAATATTGACACAAGTGACCCACTTCAAAGATGCAGAGATTGTATAACAGTAAAGAAGCTATTATTGTAAAATATAAAAATTAATAGTTTAATAATTTAAAATAAATTCCAGACACATTTCACACTTGATAAGTATTTTTTAAGTGTTTCAAATAATATATGACATATTAAAATCCATTTTTCTTAGTTTTGGTCAGTCAAGTTAACTCTTCTGATCTATATTCTTAACCTACTAGTCAATCACATTTTTATTCTGAGAACTAGCTGGAGGTTAAGAATCAGAAATAGAATAGAGACTGGATAACAAAATCTTGAGAATATACATAAATCGACATGTTCTTTTGGCCTTGTAGTTTCTGGCAGTCGCCCAAACACCAATCTGGGGCTCTACATTGTATGGTCCTAACACCTTGTTATCATCCTGGAACTAACAAAAGCCTGTGCATACGTCTCTAAAAATGAACAAGTGTTCATCTTATTGCTGGATTTTTGACACGTGTGAATAAGGAGGATATTTATTTTATAAATTCTTAATTGTTTTGTGCCTACCCATCAAAAAACAGAAGTTTTAGTCACAGGCTTAATGTATTCTTAGAGTTCTACAGAAAATGTTACTATTCTACCTAAGTTAAACTTATTAAAAGTTGAAACAGCCAAGAAAAATGAAAGCATATCCTTCCACTTAAAGCACTTAGGTAGTTATGTTTTTAATCATTGTTCAACAAATACATAGAATGTAAAGCTGGGGAAAAATTAGTGATCATTTGTTTCTATTCCTTTATTTAAAATATTAGGAAAATGAAGTCTGAGAGGTAATAGAACTATTCAAGTTCACATAACTAAAGTGTGTGGAAAAATCATGTTTTCTGAGGCCTGCTTTATTCCCTCAGAGCATTGTTTGCAAATTTTGTAATATTTAGTTATAATGGACTAATTGAATGTTATTTGTCACTTATTCTCTGAGTACTATATCACATATCAAATTACATAATGATAGAGTGTTAGAGATTAGCACACTTAGAGAATAAGTGATTAATAAAATAAAAATTAATAATACAGATTCTATTAGTACCTAAATTGTCTGGACATAAAGTCAGAACCTCTTTACAATCACTAGACAGCTTGTCAAAGAGTCAGTTATGTAATAATATTGTACAATCAGGTCCCTGGTGACAAGTTATAGAAGGATGCTGTCAACAAATGAACAATTCAAGTTATAAGGTCCCTGTATGTTGTTCTGGCTTCTGCCTAACTCTCTAGCAGAAAAATCAAAGACAAAAAACTCTCCTTCCAATTCTGACCATGCCACTTCACATTCAAAGAAGAAAGAACTGGAGACCTTTTCTACATCAAAGTCAATATTGATTTGCAAACTAGTCAAAAGGTCGGTTTTTCAAAGCTTGAATTTATGATGGTCCACTATTATCTTCTCACTATGCATCTAAATGGGGAGAATGGCCAATATTCCCAAGTCATTCTTACTTAACAGAATTGAAGCAATTTTCCTGAGCTCAAAGTTTAAAGGTAAGAAATCACGGCTATCTCATGAAAATGTTGGGTTGCATCCCACAGGGCTCATGGGTATCTGAGTAATAGCTGGTGGGGACCCATGGCTTGTCACCTCTCTCCCTAACCTCTGGTAGTTATAGGTGATATACATGTAAAAAGAAAGTATTTCCCTCTCCTAGGACATGGGTTCATCAGACTGTCATCTGAGGCCCCAGGAATCAAAGAATTCTGATTCAAATGGTCCTTGGTATTAGTGCTGAGAAGGAAATGCTTCCATCGGTGAAAGTTAAAAGCCACCAATGTTTATCTATTGATGATACTGAACACTTGATCATTCACATACACTTTTTTTTTATAATTTAGGATAGTTATCTAGCATCTCTACATAGGTTGAGTGCTATTACCCAAAGAATGGTTTAAATATAGACAGACTGAATACTGATTGGCTTTAGGCATTTTGGGAGAAGATGCCTTGGCCTTTCCTAAAATCTGTCTAAGAAATATTTCATGTGGAGTCTGCTCCCACTGTCAGGGTTTGCTATGTAAGGGTGTATGTGTCAAATATTTCTAATTGGATCAGTTGCATCGTTTATGTTTGTTTATATATATTAACTGCAGTGATTCATGTATCCTAATTCTAATTTGGATTCAGGCATAGCAACTGCTTTTTATAACTAAACACACAATAATTATATTATTTTCTGTTATTTACATTTTAAGGCATCCACTGAAATTCAGCCAATCAAAATAATTTAATCTTTAGGCAATGAGAAGTTTATTTCTCATGTACAAAAAAACTTTTAAAAGTTTCTTTTAGACATTGATACACATGTTGAGTTTCCTTCTGTTTGTATCTGTTCTGAAAATATTCCCATCTAACAGATTGAATGGCAGAACATTAGATTCCCTTTTACAGTGTTATGATCCAATAGATAAAACCTACTTTGGCTGGTAACTGAGCTCCCATCACTGACCAGGAAAAGGCCGAGTTACATCTAATGCTGTTATTTATCACTGGTGTGGCTAATCCTGCCAGTGATGGTGGTACTAGGACTGTGGGTAGCTTCTACTTTCACTCCTGAGGGGCTACCAGTTACTGTAATTGCCAGAAGAAACCACCAATAAGCAGCAAAGCACAAAAAAATTGCATATGTTCATCCTTTTTATTGTTCAAAACTAACAACCTCATGAAGGTTTTAGAAACTGTCACATAGTTGAACACTTAACTGGATGAAAATTTGAAAGTTGGGGATTCACTAAAGACGTTTTTATTGTAAAGGCAAATTCAGGTGAGGTGAGCATGCATGAAGTACTTGGTAAGCCACATGACTCAGTCTGGGTGGTAGGATCAGTGGCAGAACTCTCTTCTGACAACAGGCAAAGGAGACCTTGGTGGAAGCAGAGTGTCCAGTCATAGAACGAGGAGAGAACTTGGTGCTGGGAGCGAAGGAATATCAGGAGCATCCTAGCTGGGGTGTCCCTGAACACAGCGCCTGAAATGAGGTATTCAGTGCATGTTGGTTGTCCCTAGAAATAGGTGGCAGAGAATGGAAACAGTGAGGCAGGCAGGACTGGGGCCAACCCACATAATGTACCATAAGGGAACATAAGATCCCGGTTGTTGAAGATGGGACGTCTGAGAAGCATGCCAGGTGCCTCTCGGAAATGTCTGTCCAAAAGATATGTGGCTGGAACACTTGCCCACAGGCTCCTGTCCCCCAACAGGCTGCCCCCGAGGATGTTAATGCCCCGAGTTTCTACAACAAGCTTCAGAAGCATACTGAGTGGGCTTCTACGGTTCTGGAAAGGTCTCTGAGGCAGAAACTAGAAGACTCAAAAAAATGTTCCAGAGGCCTGGGCTTCCCAGGAACTGTCCACTCCTTGAAGCTGTGGATGAAATTAGAAGGGAGCTTCGGGGACAGGAATCAGGGTTTTCAAATTGTTGTGCTACAGAGTCCTCACTGACAGCATCTGACAAATGCTGAGGAAAAGATTAAGGACAGTGAGAAACTTTCATGCACTGAATGTCGGTGTCTCTCAAAAACTCATATGTTGGAGTTACAACACCAAGTGAGATGGGATTAGGAGGTGGGCCTTTGGGAGGTGATTAGGTCACGAGTGCGGAGCCCTTATGAATGAGATTAGTGTCCTTAGAAGGAGCGAAATGGACCAGAGTGCTCTGCTCTCCACTGTGTGAGAACACAGGAAGAAGACACCATCTGCAAACCGGGATGGGGGCCCTCACCAGAATCTGACCATACTGGCACTCTGATCTCAGACTTCCGGCCTCCAGAATGATGAGAAGTGTCTGTTGTTTATAAGCTGCACAGTTTATAGTACTTTGTTCCAGCAGCCTGAACCGATACCATCTCCAAAGAGAAATCTGATTTTCCGTAAGTTTTAGCTTAGCTTCTTTCATGGCAACTAGATTATAGTAATCAGAGTAAAATAAAATAAAATAAAATAAAAATGCAAGCACATAGAATCTTTCCTTTCCCAGAAGACCCTACCAAAATCAGAATTACAAAGTTTTTGAACTTAGCTACCTACGTAGTCACAACACTGCCCTGAAAGAAAAGGTGTGGCTTCACAAAGCTAATGTATCCTCATTGCATCACTCACTTCTCTTTGTCCGTAACCTCTAGACACCTCTGTTAGAGCCTCCTAGTCAGTGTAGGTAAGTTAGATCCTCTCAGCCACCTTCTCCGAAGTCTCCACTGCATTAGTCAGGCAGGAATTATTGTAGTCAAAATGACAAGTCACAGCTCACCCTGGGAACATTATGGGGAAAGTTAAACTCAGCAATAATGAGTTAAAAGCCCTTGGTTTCTATTTGAGAGCAGCATGCGGGCTGGCCCACCTAATATGACAGTGAAAGTAAACTGATCTATAAATGATCATTTATAATTTATTAATAACTAGCCCATCCATTCAGTGTGTGGTTGCAATATCAAAGTATCAACTAGGGTTCCAGATAAAATGCAAGCACTGCATGGGACATACTTACATTAAAAAAAGTATTCACTATTTATCAGAAACGCAAATTTAACGAGAAATTCTTGATTTTTACTTGCTAAATCTGGCAGCCTCTGTGCTGCCACCAAACAGGTATACAAAGAAAGCAGCTTATTAAAACAAGACAGTAAATGTTCTGGAATGTTGTGCTATAAAGGCTCTAGAACTTTTCAGTAGCAGAGACATTTCAATGAATTAACGTGTGAATTAACTAAGAATGTACACATTGTTTTCTTGGGCCTATTTCTAAAAACGTTTCAAAGCATTTCAATAATTTATTTTGTCACAATATGGCAATTTATACATTGTAAAAACACTGTGATGGTAAACAGAAAAACTCACTTCAAATCATTTCAAATTAGCTTGCAAAAGACCCCCGTGTACTTATTAATAGTCAAATACACATACTTTTAAATGTTTTCATATGATTCACCTACAAAATCCCCAATAAAGAAAATGTAAATCAACTTCTAAGTCCAAGAACAGCTCTGCAGAGTTCTTCAGTGAAGAGAAACATCGAAAAACCACAGGCAGAGTCACCTCGCTTTAGTCACAAGAGTCTTGTTCCAGCTCACCTTCCAAAACAATTTCATTCAAGAAGAAATCTTCTGACAGTTCACACTTAGAATGGCAAATAATCCCTGCCTTTTCATTCATTCACTTATTACTGCTCTAAAAAGAGAATGTGCAGTTACCAGAATTTTATACCATTAGTGCTCCAAGAGTGTTTTAAATGCAAACCTGTAAGAGGAAAGTAAAAACAAATCAAAGTTAATTGTGACTGGCTGGAACAAAATGCTTAAATCAATAGGAGGATGGCTCATCTGCTCATCATTTACACGCATTACCTGGGAGACCAATACCTCTTGCTGGGCCTGAGTTTTGATACAGATACGCCAAGTTGCTGCACTCTCCAGCAGCAGGGCAAGGGAGCCCAGACTGCCTTCTCTGACTCCCCCTCTCATTATCCTCTTTGCACCTAATAACCTATTCACTTATCCTTATTTTTTTCTGTGTTGTATATTCTTCTTTGCAGGGTGGGTGGTCATGAACACAAGGGACACCAGGGAGTTATAAAACTATTAAGAAGCACAGGGCCTTCCTGCAAAGCAGGCAGAAGGAAGCGCCTTTTCGGACTTTGAGTCACTGCCTTTTCTAGACCAGGCTCCTCCCTGGCGACTGTGATTTTCAAAGAACCCCAATGGTAGAATGCATCCCCTTTCACAAGTCATCCCTTGAAAAAAAAATGGTGTTGTTGTTAAGGTATTAGACACAAAATAAGAAAAATAAAGCCCTCTAATTTGGAAGTATCAAGTGTGTCCAGGTGAAAGAGGTGCGAAAACAGCAATGGGCCTTTGGAGCCTCTGTTTTGTGAAAACCATGCTCGTTATCCTACCCTCTAGTCAAGAAAGGCTGATGTGTTGGGGTGAAGACAGACTCATTTCCAACCCTCTACTGCCTCTGTACAAATGCCCGTCACCCTGGCCAGCATCCCCCGAATGGAATGTGAAATGTATCTGCCTTTGGAAGTTCATGTTCATCTCTGAATCAAGCACACACACAAAATTTGAATATGTCCGGACAAGATGATTTGTGTGGATATATTACCTTTTTTTTTTGACAATTATCCAAATGAAAATCTTGCAACCATATGTTGTTGTTGTTATTCATAATTTCCATGGTGGGGAGTGGGCTCAAGAACTTTCAGAATAACTAATTTTTCTTATCCTATTTCACAATTAAATGGATGATGTGTAACTGCTATCACCGTATATTTACTGGCAATTATCCTCTTTTAGCTCTCTAGCTATTTTCGACTTGTGTGTGTAGATTACCTAATAGAAAAGGCAAGAGGTGACCACATGTGTGCAGCACGTCATGCACTAAACCTACACTGCATTCATGGCCAACTCACCCAAACAGGCTAAGTATGTGAAAGTTAGAAATACAGTTCCCAGTTTAAAGTGGGAGCATAAATATACAAGGGGAAAGCCAGGAAGCACACTGATACAGCAGGGAAAACAGCCTAGAGCAAAGGATGACTGGAGGAAACCGGTGGTGCTGCACCGCAGGGAAAGGATGAGGCGCTGTCAGCTGGCTGTCGTGTGTGTTCCACCACCAGTTCCTCAAAGCATCCTTTCATTATTATTTTAGGAAAGGACATTCATGACCAATAACAATGTTACAATGATAGTAAGGGTAGGCTTGAAGATACATTTTTTAAACCACCTTGAACAAACATTAAAAAGCCACCAAGGGGTTGGGCGAGGGCGGGTGGCGGGGAGGTAGATACCTAGGCTCAAGGTTTTATTTAGTGGTGGTTCCACTTTTTCACTCGCTGCCTGCAAATCAGCATTTTTAGTGGACAAAGGGCTCAGCAGCGGCCTTATGATTGCTTCTTTTCAAATGGTAATGGCTATCCTAACTCCTCTGCCAGGTTTTTCTTACCAGAGCACAAATTGCAGTTTACAAGGCTCTGAGGGGGAAAAAAAAACCTTAGCTGAATATCTTTTTTTTTATTCGACAAACTGACATGTAAATTACCCTTTAAGTGCTCCACTCTAGGGCTCTGATCATCTCCTAATTGTCACAGTCAATTGTAGCCAACAGTCTCTTCAATCCCAAGCGCTTTGACAACAAGCACAAGGATCAAAGCGGAATCAGCTCCCTTCAATATCCTTCTGTTTAGGATGCAACAAAACGCCTGAAAAAGAAAGGTGTAAGGGCATTGCTGTAGAGGAAACTGAGAGTAGCAAGTATTACAATAGTCATTTTCTCCATCTCTAAAATTATGCTGTTTAAGCTGCTGTGATCTCTAAACACATGTACAGAGCAAACATATAAACCTCCCTGGCAATTAGTATGCTCTTAAGATTATACTAATATGTGAGCTTAACAAACAACACTGTCCCCTCGGCTTAGGAAAACTATGACATAGTTATGGGATAGCAATCATTTCATAGCAGCTTAGCATCAAAAACTATTATCAAACATATTCTGTATTAGAGCATAAATTCCAAAGCCTAGTTTTTATTACTTACTTTGGTGTCAGGATTCACTGCTCCCCCAAACCAAATAGCCCATTGAAACTTCTAGAGTTTCTTTTAATTAACCCAGAAATGTCCAATGAAAATATGCCCCCAAATAAATAAGAAATGTTACAGGAAAACTAATTTCAGAAGACTGCTGTTTCCCTCACTAGAGGTAACTCCGTCTTATTGCTTTACTGGGAACAAACTAATTAAAAGTCATTACATGATCTACAAACATGATTCCTAAATAAGATGTGCTTACTAAGATCATTACTTAACACAAGATGACAATTCTTTCTAACTGAGGTAGTTATCATACATCACTAACTTCTTCACGAGATTATTTATGCTTTTCTCAATAGGTAAAAATCCGTGCTATCAAACATAACAATATAAATACTTTAATTTGGAGGAAAGAGAAACTTTAGAAATAAATATGTATAAAGCAGCCACTTCAAAAATAACCCGAAGGTTGTCAGGAAAAATGACAAATGGAAAGACATCAAAGGTGCATGTGACACTCCCGCTACAGCTTGTCCATCCTCTTGTCCCCAGGTATCACACACAGGCAGCGTGTAAGGTCAAACAGTGATTGACAGCCTTCCTGTGCTGAGGGAAAGAACTGTAAAAAAGAGGCGCACATACCCCAGGTTCCTTTCTCAGCTAGTTCACTCAAATTCCCCTCTCGGGTTTTCCCATCCTCCCCTCAATTTCACCTTGAATCCTCAGGTTTGATTGAAGAGCTTCACAGAAGGGTCTATTACAGATTGAGGAACGATCCATTTCACATCTGAAGCTCCAAAGAGCTACTTGTGAGGAGTCTTTGAGTGCATTTATCTCACATGTGAAGCTTTCTGCAAAATCAATATGGGTATTTTTCAGTTTGACAAGTCAACATGAAATATCACATAATGATAGAAAAACAGAGTTGTACATCTGAACATACCCAATACAGTTATCTATGACAAGGCTTATAGTTATTACTCATGGATATCCTTAAGTATGCCTAATCTAAATGGGCCCTGATAGCTGGGCTGAAGTGCGTGGAAAGAGAAGCTGCCTGCCACGGTATTTCTGGCTCCTCTGTCCTAATTAACCAGGTCTTGCGGTGCGGGGAGAGAATGGACAGGAATCACAGCCTTTGTTTCCAATCCGAGAATGATATGAGAAGTAGGAAGAAAATAACCAGAGGTGAAAAGGAGGAAGGAAGCAGACTAAAGAACTCTAAAGAACTTCACATCGAATTAATGGGCAATAAGTGAACAAAACGGTCACCCAGAGAATAGTGGCCATGTCTCAAATCGCCACAACCAACACAGCAAACTCTAGCAGAATAATGGACACATTTGCTTCAGTGTCTTATGATCTTTGGCTGAATTGCAGGTCCATTTTACCATCTGCAACAGCTTGAGGAAGATAATTTAACTTCTCTAAATCTCTGGAGGTTTTTTTTTTTTTTAAATCTTGAAATGGAATTAATCTGATTTACCTTACGAGGTTTTGTGAAGATTAAACAAGACAATGCATACAGCACCTGGTACGTGGAAAACATTCAATTATTGGTAAATATTGATGAAATTATTAGTTTCCTTAAACCTAAACATAGGTCCCTAGGGTTCTAATCCAGTGTCATTTCTACTCTTCCCTGGATTCTTCCCACATTTTTTAATGTCCCCAAGTTGTAGATGACAGTTTTTCTCAAAGAGTATGCCCACGGCCTTAACTCTGTTGTAGGTCCTGGTAGCGGTGTATCTTAGAAACACTCTCCCTCCAACCTGGAAGGCTGTCCCCATCAACCAAGAGAGGGAGAGAGAATCAGATGGGGTTTTGAGAAAGGAAATGAATCCAGGTCTAGAGACCAAATCAGCTGATCAATGCAAGCAATAAATGAGGTAAGAGTTGTAGTGTGTGGTTTTTATTCATGTGCCAATATTTTATAACTGAAGCTGGGATTATCACCATATACTCCCCCATAGAAAGGACCTTAAAAATAACTCTCAGAAATATATTGGCAGCCCAGATTAAGTTGAATAGGTCACTATAACAGCTTATTCTTTTCCATTATATTTTCCTTTAGTCTATCACTACCTGATATTAATACCATCTGTACTTTATTATTTGCGTTTAGATCAACTAATTTGGAGATTGCTTAAGACACATTTTTTAATTTTAGGTTAACTCTCCCTACCACTAAGAATAAGCCCAGAGTAGGTGAAACATGTGAATTTAGATACATGAAAATTTATATTAATATCAAAATTAAAAAGGCATCATTAGACAATGCAATTGAAGTTTAAAAACTCTTACCCTGTATTTCAGTCAAATAACTAAATATAAATGTCTTTGTATTTAATTAATTCAACCAATATGTATCAAGAACTTACATGCAATATTGTTCATTTTTAGCTACCCTACTGTTCTCTATTATTAAAATTAAGTATAGTTTTCAATCCAAAACCAAATTAAAATATTTCATTAAATGCTGATATAGAATTACAAGAACAAATTGAAACAATTTCCTACTTAAAAAGGGTATTTCCTTGAAATTTTAAATTTATTTGTTTTGGACTCAAAATACATTTTTAGCAAGGAAACAAGTTTATAAATGATAATTAAGTTCCCAGATTGACACATAAAAACCTGTTTAATGTAAAATATACCTGAAACACACTAGAACCAAGCCTTAAGTGACTCTAGGTAATTTAACCCTGTAGAGGTTTAAAAGTATCATCAAACTTTGAGTTTCTGAATTTTGAGACATCAGGCAAAAGGTCTGATTGAAAAGTGGACCATTCACATACTTACATGATCACTGCTCTCATCATCTACACCGAGTCATCACCACCATCATTGCTATTTCGTCATATTTCATCCATCACATTAGTGCATGGTAGCCGTGAAGATGATGGTAGCCAATAGCATCTCATCATCCTCCCTTTTCAAATAAGTGATGAAGAACTGCACCAAAGAGTCAGGTCCTCACTCTCTCTGGCACATAAACCTCTGCCTTCCATGGTGTTCATTTCCCAACCAGGACTCTGCACTTTTTTAATGCTTTCAAGTTAAGAAAATGAAGGCTGTAAGGTATCACTATTCACATTTCAGTATCACCTCCTCCTGGATTTTGCCTTGTACTGTGGCTACACCAGACTCTGTAACAAAGCTTTGAACAGTATAGAAAAGAGGATAGGTAAGGACCTGTTAATACCTCCCTTTGGTGTGCTGGTCCTAACTGAATCACAATGTTGAGGTGAATATTTTCCGTTCTAATATCTCAATGAAAAATAATTTCACAATTTCTCTCAGTTATTTACATATTTCAAAAGCTTTCTTCCTTCATTATCAGGGTTTTCTGCCTTATTCCATTTCTGGTTTTGATTTTGATTGTAAACATTCCTACTAAAAATAATCCTAGACCAAAACAGCTGATTTGGTCTCTAGACCTGGATTCTTCTCCTACTCAAACCAAAGGCAGGAGTGATACCTGCCTTTCAAGGACTGCAGGTGTGCCATTAAGTCCTATAGTTCAACTACAAATAAAAATAAATAAACCCTCACAATGAACAATCATTCCTGCCAATTTTTCACACTTTCAAGGAAGTGCATCGTGTCCTACAGCTTGCAGTTCACCGAAATGACCTCTGGCCTCCTCAAACTATAATCACAAAACATGTACAAACCCCCCTTTAAAACTAAATTGGGGGGGAGGAGAAAATGCAAAGTTACTGTTTAATGGGCATAGAGTTTTGATTTTACAAGATGAAAAATTTCTGGAGCTCTGTCGCACAACAATGTGAATATTCTTAACACTACAGAACTGCACACTTAAAATGGGTAAGATGGTGAATTTTATGTTATTTTTACCACAACTCAAAAATTTTTAAATACAGAAGTAATGTAGTGAAACTGCTTGAAAAAAAACTAGTGCATTAATTCAATAATAAATGAATAATTGTGGAACATTTTCAAGAAACTGAATTAAGGATATCCTAATTTCTCAGTGTTAAGCAGCCAGAATCTGAGATTGTAATCCTAATTTCTTTTCTGTGAAAATACTTCCTGCAAAATCATCTATAAAGTGTTCAAATCGAAATAGACTAACATCTGACTTAGGAGAAATTACACATGAAAATGCTGCCCAAAACTAAATAAATCAATGAAACTCGGATTATAAAATTTCACTTCTCTTCTGAAAGATTCAAACAGTGAAACACAAGAAAACCACCACTCCCAGGTGCTCTGTTCTGAGTCTCTACCTACCACACATTGTTGCCCTTTAGAATCTCAAGACTGCACTCAGTTTTCAGTGGACCAAGCAAAAGTTGAGGCTCACTGAGACAAAAATACTGGAACCCAAACCAGACTAGTTTCCAGTGGTTTCTCTGTTTTTGTGACAGTAGTTCCACAGTATCTTAACACTCACTTCCTTCAGGGTTGGTATTTTTAAATATTTCAAACCTTTTTTTTTAAAGTTCCATCACAAAATAAAGTTTTTTTTCAGGATTCAGGGTCATAATGCTAAGTTTGAACAAGTTGAGCAAATGTACATTTATCCCATACAAAGTTAGAAGACAGAAGTAGACAAAATAGCACTTGAAATAATGAGGAAAGCTTATAGAAACCACTTCACTTAAAGTCCCACCTCATATACACAGAATAAAATCAATCAAAAACAAAAGGAAATGGCTACCTTTTTACAGTAAGATCCCTGAGATAAAACGAGAGGATAAAAACTAGAAAAAATGGTGCACTGATTTAAAAAACTTATTAGAATATATCTCTCAAAATGTACTCTTATTTCAATCATTCAGTCATCTAATGGTTTGTTTTTAATGTTTAATCTTACATTCCTATAGTTTATTAGATTAGGGGTAGCAAATCCTTACAGTCCAGTGTGAATCTGAGGCTTGTAATAATATTAATAGTTTTAATAGTAATACTTACCTATGACTAACATATCTTGGCATTTACATTATCTCCTTAGAACAAACATATGAGGTGAGTATCAATATCCCTCCGAGACATGAGGAAACTGAGGCTTTGAGAGACTAAATAACTGGGCCAAAACCACACACTAAAAAATGCTGTGCTCTTGACCACAAAGCCCCCCTCCATCTTGATGAGCTGTTAGGACTGCAGCTTGGTTTCAGTGTGGATTATTCTTCTACATCATCTATTACCAACTCTTTCTATATTTGTTATTTTTGATAAATGACTTCCCTCTTGCTTTGGGGTCTCCTATTGCCCAATAGCTCCTGAATAGAAAGCAAATCTTGTACACAGACACTTGTTCTGATTGATTCCATGACTGAACTATATGTGGTCATTGAGCAGCAGCAGCAGGTCTCTTTGTTCCACTGCTACCTCTCCAAGTATTCACCAAGCAATCAGGTTACAAACCACTCACTACAGAGAGCAACATCCATAATGACATGTATTGGGAAATCTACTTGAGTTCAGGATTATAATCACTAGCAGTTCAGGGTATTCCAGAAGACACTACTCCCTTTGCAAATACCATAATCAACACCAGTGAAGAACATCAAGACCAGCACAATGAGCCTTTTCATTTCTCTGCTTCAGGTCTGGATTCCTTTCCTCGAGACCCTTTACATCCAGATGAGCATATTCATGAGCAGAGTGAGAACACACTCTCCCATCTTCTTCAGGGCCAGCCTTAGAATCCAAGATTAGTAAAGCTAGATTCTTGAGGACTCTACGGTCATGCCATAAAATTACATGTGAGAAAAAATGTGGTTCTAAAAAGTGAAATGATTTTTTCAAGGTCATAAGCTTATGAGTAAAAAAGACACCTTAAACTCTAAGTTCAGTCCATTTGTTTACCTATGATAAC